ACATGAGATGTAATATATTGTTGCAAGGCTATTGTCCATGCACATATTGCGACGCCACTTCTCGCAAACTGGCAGCAATTGCGAAGAAGACGACGATATAAACCTTGACTGGAATATTGGCCAGGAAGACGACCTGAAAGAAAATTTAAAACCGTCTGWGCAACTYGCCGTGGAACAAATATGTATTCCAGATGAGCACTTTGCTGAGACTGAAAAAATAGCCGAGATACAGGTTCGTCGCTACTACACTGGATATGCCATATATCAGAAAGTTTTCTCCAAACTAAAATGCGAAAAATGTACGTATTTAATGATAAAGATTGATAGCACTTTGGAAGCCTCATCGGAAGCCCTTATAAGGTCTCAAAATTATAAAAGCACAGATGACCTAAGACTAGTTAATCCCGATGATAGAGTCTTCGAAATAAGCGGCTTCAAATGAGCTGTTATAAAGAGCTCTTTTTAAAATATTCAATCAGAGTGGGTATAAAATCGATGATTTTAGCCCAGATTACTGCAGTTACCAAAGAGAAATACCCAGAGTGGTACAGCGAGGCTGGAGATTGCCTTGAAAATAGAACATAGGCATCAATTTTTAGATTTTCTCATAACAGTTTTATTGTATAAAAATGCGATATGGCTGGCACCAACAGGAAGAGCTTTATAAAAATGAAGTTAGGGCAAGATATTATAACAAAAGAGAAAAACTAAAGAAACTGGTAACATAAGTAGATTGAAGGCCATATTTAATTTTTCTAGCAACTTCCGTGTTATAAAAGGTAAAGAAAATATATGAAATGAAATTACATTATTCAAATTACTAAAACGCATTTCTTTCTTCTTATTTCTCTCATTTCAGATTCTTCAAAAACTAATAATGTTCTTTTTATTTCTTTCAGGGAAGAATTAAGTTGTAAATAGTTCGCAGTAGTAGTAGTTTTAGTATTACTTATTGTTAGTTAGTTTTAGTATTTATTAATTTAGTAAGTAGTATATACACGTGAGCCAAGCTTTGAAAAAAACTGGTGAAAAATACCTAATCCTTACTGATTAGGTTGTGTGAGAATTTGTGGTTGTAGGTAGACAAATTYTGAAAATCGTGTTTTATTAAAATTATATTCTCTTATGTATTTGTACATATATTTCTAATAAAATGAATTTTCTTTTTATTTTTCCTTGCAGTTTATTAATTAATTGAAATAAATTTACATGACTTTTCATTTTTATTTAATTTTCAATAAAATTTTAAAAATTAATTGCCCTCATAGTCTATTTTACTTTATCATGCATTTCAGTATAGAAATTTGACCGACGTAGAAGCAAAATGCGAAAGAATCATATATATATTATGTCGTTTGCACATTTGTCTGTATGTTTGCGAAAGCAAATGTTCTACAAAAGCATATTTCTATACTCAAACAAAATTATGTGAACCATCGTATATTTCTATCATGCATAAAGGAAAGGAATGACGTGCTTATATGAGCACATTTCAGTACATTTGGCACATTTTCTTTTTGTAATATTTAACATAATTATAACTTTTTTTAAATAATTTAAAAATTAAAAAATAAAATCAAATTATTTTTTATTTAATTTTTCACGATTTTGTAAAAAAATTAACATTTTTACCATTTATCTGAAAAAAATGGTTCATATGATACAAAATAATCATGCATACGTGACGCAGAGAATGCTTCTTTGCTTTGTATATTTTTCTTCAAAGCATTTCTCTTTATTCATTCTCGCATGAATTCAGTCGTTTTACATATATTTTTGCCAGAGAACGTGCTCAATTCTGCTAAATAGCASCGAGAATGGTGAATTCCCTATCACAATCTTATAAGTTCTGTTAGCYGTCCAATC